TTCAGGCTTCACTCTGTAAATAGTGAAGCGGGGGAAAAAAAAACCCCAATGGTTTCTCAAAGGGTAAACAGAAGCAAGAGAAAAAGCGAGGGTCAGTTATAAAGGTCATTGATTAAAGGGACTGAGAAGATTCCACTGATGCTTCAAAACCCAATGTAATTGACAGAGCATATGTGAATAAATGCTTGCTGTGTGCTAATCTAAATTTGATAACAATTTAATAAGTTTCTTATTTCATCACAGGACGAACACAAAGCAACCCATCTATCTATGTTATAAAATATAGAGGTGTTGGGACAATGTAATCTCCGTCTCTCTGTAACATAATTTGTTACAGAGGTACATATATTTGTCATTGCTGATGAAAAAGGCCTGGTGTAAACTTTGCTTCAGAGCTTGGCTGTGAGGTATTCGTTCCCTTTCCATGTGTGGAACTGGGAGCCAACTATTCACTGTATCCATTCAGGTACAAAAACACTCCATCCATCTAACATCTTGACAAAAGTTGAAGCTGACATCCAAGTTCCAAAAAGCTTGAGAGACCAAGGACTTGGCAGGTAAACAGCACAGCCAACTTGAAATGTCCGGGTGCTTCCACAGATATAACCAGTAAGCAGGAGAAAGGTCTCTTCCATTAATGAAGAGAGCAGGATAGCAAGTTTAATGTGCCGCTATTATGGAACAAGACCTGAGTAGCGTTCTGAAAGTATTTGCACAGAACACTGAGTATTACTGTATTGCTGACTTTAGAATCCAAAAAACCTTTAGCAAAACAGAAGATGAAAGATACATTTTTTTCATCGCACAACAGACTTTTCCACACAGTTACTGTGGAAGATTGGGGCACTGCGGGTACAATTATTGATATTATCATTACATTTAAATTCCACCCTCATTCCAAGAAAATTAGAATGAATTTCTAATAGCTATTTCTAACTGTGAAATCCTAAATGTGCTTACTCAAAAATGGGTCCTACCATGTTTAGTGGGCCCTTTTCCAGATATGTAGGTAGCGGTTTTCAGATATAACCATATAACAATCATTTGAGGTAAATAAAAGAGAAATAGCTTAAATAACATTACAGTAAAACCTCTACATCTATGGGGAGATGTTCTTCAAGTTACCATAGAAACAGGACACCATAGATAATAGTGAACCCAATGAATGAATTCCACCAGAAATTATCATCTCGTTGCTTTGGGGAACCTATGCAATTTCTAGAAAACATCCCTATGGCAACTTATAGCAAAAGTATACCATAGAATTGCCTGGATGACCAAAAAAAAAAGTCATAGAGAAGGTAGGTGAAATCATGGGTAGTGGTCCTAAGGGTATGGAGGCCATAGGATATATGCAAGTAAACTCACCTTAGAGTTTCTGGGACTATCATGTATAAACGTTCAAATGCTTCTCACCCTGCATCCCAATCATGCACATAGAAAAGTAGCACCACAGGAAGACTAGTGGTGAGTCCAGGTGAGTGCAATCACTTTGCCTTTGTGCAAAATTCAGACAATTTTCATTTATAATATTACTATAGTTTCCCATCACATCTCTTGTGATTTCTCTTAACATAGAAAAGCCGTGGCGGGAAAGATGGAATAGTGATGCAGAATTTTGAGACTGGTAGTGCCTTGATGCATCTTATGCTTCAACTCTGAATTGGATACACCAATTTCCCAAAGACATAACCTTCTAATATGCAAACATGTGATCATCCTGTTTCTATGGTCATATTGCTGTGCTTTGTAAAACTAGATATATAAATTTCATTTAAATTACATATTGTAGTGTTGCTGTTAGATTGTTTTTACTGATTCCTTGGAAGGGGATCACCACAAATGCAGCTGTAATTTCCTGATCTGAATTTTTGCAGAAACTCTGTACTGAATCTTGTCATAAAGGATGGATTAGCCCATTGTGGCTCGCTCAAGGTTATTTTAAGATGCTAATGAATCTTAGCATGAATGGATCCAATGAATCTGCCCCAAGATATACCACCCACCATAGTGAAAAATACCTGAATGCTGGCTGCTTGTAAGAGGGGAAGAAATAGAAATACTGTACTGAGTATGGATCCCTTCTTTTTTGCAGAGAGCCACGGAAAACCAGTTCATATATCTATTGATGACTATGTAACTTCATGATCATTCATTAACCCTTTTAAAATGTTCCCTGTCCATTTAAATTTCTCGTGTAAATGTCTTTTACCATGTTTAAAAGTGTTTATAGTGTGAAAAAAAAATCAGACGAAACACTGAAGGATTTTTAAAAATGTGATTTTTTTTATCTTCTACCCACAAACCAATTAAAAGGGGAATGGAAAATGATTTTGGAAAGAGACACCTGGTTGCATGAAAGTCATACCTTGGGGGCATGGGAATACATGCAACCATTATGTTCTCCTCCTTCCTTGTTGCTCTTATGACATTTTGTTCTCCATTAACATATCACTCCAGTCAAACAGGAGTCAACAGGAATCATTTATGAAGCATAATAATGCTACAATGTTACACAGTTAATTCAGTAGCTTTGCTTATGCAGGTTGCTAGGACAGACACACTTCCATACTGGCAGTGCAACTAGGTGACAACCGTCCCTGTCTCTCATCATGACAGGAAGATAATTCCGCTTCCTATATGATGGAAAGGGTTACCTTTGTTGTGTTTGGAGACCCGAGATCTCCAAAGGGAGAGTGCTGGATTTTCAGGCACTTTGTTGTTCTGTAGTGCCTTTCCTGTCCAAGGCTACAGGCCAACTGTACTAGGCTTGCCAGAACCACAATAGAAAGCAGAATGCACCACACGTACTCCAGGACTTTCTAAGAAACCTCACTTGGATTATGGATCTGCTAGGAAACACATTAGCCTTGTTGTCTCAGTGACACAAAAACACCTTAACCCTGCACAAGAGCAAATAATTTTGCCCCTGTTTTATCACCTAACATAGGTCAACAGAACTGACGTAACAAATTTATATGTCACTTAATATGAAAATTGAAGATCACTAAATGTTTGCTTCCTCATATTAAAGTTGCAGGCCATGTACACAGGTATCCCTTATCCAAAATGCTTGAGACTAGAAGTGTTTAGAATTTCAGATTATTTTTTAAATTATTATTTTGGAATATTTGTATTTGTATATATGTACACAATGAGATGCCCTGGAGATGAAAACTAAGTCTAAACACAACATTCACTTACTTTTCAGATATACTTTATATACATACCACAAAGTTGATTTTATACATTTTTTCATATTTATGTGCACGAATCAAAGGTTGTGTGCACTGAACCACCAGAAAGCAGAGGTGTCATTATTTCAGCCACCCATGTGGAAAACTTTAGGTTTTAGAGTATTTCAGCTTCTGGATTTCTGGATAAGGAATGCTCAACCTGTATCAAAAGCGATCAACACTGATCTTTTAAATCAGGGGTCCCCAAACTAAGGCCCATGGGCTGGATACAGTCCTCCAAGGTCATTTACCCAGCCCTCGCTCAGGGTCATCCTAAATCTGAAATTTCTTGAAAGCACAGAACAACAACAACACCAACAACAACAACAACAACAACAACCATCCTATCTCATCAGCCAAAAACAGGCCCACACTTCCCATTGAAATACTAATAAGTTTATATTTGTTAAAATTGCTTTTTTAATTATTGTTTAAATTATTGTTCCACACAGCTATATAACCCAGAATATCAAGGCTACTGCATGGATATCAGACTCCTCCCAGTAGACACAAATCAGGAAAAGTTTCATGACCACTACTTCTCTTAATGTTCCCCCAGCAACAGCAAGAGTTTCCCTTGGGATGGGAAATCCCAATGGGATGGCTTCCCATGAATCATAGAATCAAATCAAAGAGTTGGAAGAGACCTCATGGGAGTTGGAAGAGGTAGAGTTGACAGATCAACAGAAAACCTGGCTAAAAGGCACTACCTAGAAGAATCCTCCATCTTGTGCAACTGTAGAGCAGAACTAACAACTCAGTATCTGTATGTTTGCCCACAACACCCACAGGGGAAGAACTGTTTAAAGCTACAGGCCATACAGTCAATATTGCCCACTTTTGGTCTAAAATTATTTAGCCACTTGGGTTCCCTCTATTTTATCAGTTTTATAGTAATTTATTTATGCAATGCTTTTGACATGAAATAAAATAACCCACAATATTTCCTTTGAACTGGATTATAGGAGTCCACACTGCCATATCATCCAATTCAATGTGGATTTTATACAGCTTGGTGGAATGGACCTTAGTCTATTGCAAACAACAGATTAACATGGTTTATTCACATTTGTGGGCAGTTGTTCATATGGCAATTAATACCCGCTTACATTTTAAAGTACCACAAACTTTCTTTGCTGCCAAAAGAAGCTGGATGAACTTAGATTTAGTCAGCAGAATGAGAGAACTAGACTGCACTAGCTGAAAATGCATTGGCTTCCTTTAAAAGTCACCAGGTTGTGCATTGCTTCTGACTTTTCCACTCCTTTGTACTTCCTCTAAATTGATGTTTTTAGTTGCTTATTAGAAAAATATCACAAAGGTTAATTTTATTGGGGTATTCTAATGCCATCCATCTCACTAGAACAATCATTAGATTAGCTATGGTACTGTTTTTGCTTGAAGCATTAAAACCATGTGTACATTACAGATCAGAACCAAGCTATGTGCAATAATTCAGCAATAATTAAGCCAGGTGAAAGTGAGGAGACAGCTGCTTCAGGGGTTTACCAGGAACATCAAGAAAGGGAATATCTGGCGGGAATATTATACATTTTCAGCAACACTTCAAAGTTAAGATGATGCATCAGTAAATTTAATAAAACAAGAGTTGAAATAGTGTGATATTTAGACACTGGTTGTTTTAAGGGACAGGTATATAAACCCAAATGTTCTCAACATGCGCAACAGGAGCTTACATGAAGGTTCACATTTAAAAACTTAGAAATTATTCTGTTTCCCTTCTACCAAGCAAGAATTAAACTCTTTCATTACATTATTAGGATGTTTTATTGTGCAGAAACAACATTATCCTCATGCTTTGTAATAAAAGTGGTTCATAGCAAACAGTTAGCTGAACTTCTTCCAATTTTGGAGAAATCTGGATTAAGTTGTGTCCTTTGCTGAGCCTGGGTCAACAAACAGTGGGCCCCAAACAGATTGAAGTACGGAATGTAATCTCAGCTTTGCCTGTGCTGAAGGAAATTCATTTCATTGTTTCAGATATAAACCATTTCTATTATTAATCACAGTAATGTAATCATTGCATAATACTTTTGAGGCCTCTTTTGTTGAAAAATGCCATTTCTGCATGCTGATCTCTATACTCAATTATAAAACATCTTATTTACACACAAAGAAATGTCTATTAATTATTTCCTGATTTTTTAAAATGTCATTGCAACTTTGAATGTAAAATGTTATATCTGTATCTCCGTAAAAGAAGTTGAGGACTGGTAAAGGAAAAAGCAGAAGGACATAGTGCCCCATAGTAAAAGAGGCTTTGGCATTTTAGAGTATACGATGTACCTTCAGGGTATAACTTGCCTTATTTTAGATATACAATCAAGATGCTGTTTTCAGTCAATATTTGGCATGTGCTGAACTATGGAATTTGCTGTTTTTGTAAATACAGCTGTACGTAGCTGCAGCCAGAACCAAAAAATAAAATAAAATAAAAATGTGCAGATCTGTATTTCTTAAAGTTGAATTGCATATTCTTGTTGCTCTAGTACTTCTCTTTATCTTTCCATAGCTTCACACCATTGACAGCCATGCTGGTGGCATCTTTTCTAGGAATATTTACATCCAAAGGAATGGTACTTTTGGTAAATGCTACAAAAGAGAAAAAGAAAGAGGCAATTATTACTCATTTGCTGAAAAGGCAATAGGAGAACAAAACCAGAAGGGACCCCTTTGTAAACAGAGAGAACCTGACCAGAGTTACGTGTAATGTAGGAGTCATGTGGTCCTCTGAAAGTTGAACCTCAAGTCCCAGCATACACTGGCAACATAGCCAATGGGCAGGAATGCTGGGAGGTGAAGTCCAACAACTTCTGGAAACATTCCGTTTGCATTGCACTAGATGTGGAGCTGCCTTTATGGAATACTCAGAAACTTCAATTGAGGCTACAGAGAATACAGGGCACAGCTAAATGGCAATTATTTCACCAGCGTACAGAACTTAACACCTCAAGATCACTACTGGTAGGACAGCCATCTCCGTATAGATAACATCGAGAACTGGGCTGGTAAATGTTTGGTCACAGGCTGGATGCAGCTCCCCTCCCCAATGATTTTGTGGCCTTCTAGATTTTTTTTTTTTTGCTCCAGAATGTTACCAAATTTAGAGGTATGTGGAGGGCATTTCCATGAGACTCCTAAGTATCAAATAATTCTTCTGCCTTTTTCCAAACTAATGTTGCCCTCAAATATAACAGAATGTCTGTTGGAAAGCATGAAGCACATTTCTACAACATTTTCTGGGTTTCCTGGACTAAACATGATGAACATGTGTCCATATCCCCTAGAGCAGGTCTGCACAACCTACAGCCTCCAGGTGTTTGGGCCTTCAACTTCTAGTAGCTCTAGCCAGCTGTTCCACTGGCCACGGATTCTGGGAGCTGAAGTCCAAAACATCTGGAGGGCTGCAGGTTGTGCAGGCCTGCCCTGGAGGCATTCAGGAATCCAAGGATTTGTAGTTTTCTGAGTCAATAACCCTTGTCCACATGGAAAGATGGCGATGAACTGTGACTGTATTGACGACTTGGCTTGTGTAATGCGATGATGATGTTTTTATTGTATATTTTAATGTATAATGATGATGCATTGTGCTGTTTTGTATATTACTGTATATGAACACATGTTGTGAACCGGCCTGAGTCCCTCCTCGGAGGTGAGAAGACCGGTATATAAAACTTCTAAATAAATAAATAAATAAATACTAGAGCTCTCTAGCAGAGTATCTCACACAACTACAAATCTCATGCTTCCTTATAATGGAACCATGGCAGTTCAAGTGGTATCAAAGTGCAAAAAAGACACAACACCGCTGGAAAAGGGAGGAGAGGTAACAAATGGAGAAAAATGGTTTATGCTTTTCTGTGGGTGAAAGCATCTTGTGAGTTAGTATAATTCATTGGCTTTGGAATTCTAACTGTAGATTCAATGGCCAGAATCAAAACTTATATCTTTTGGCAGAAGTATACAGGCAGTCCCTAAATTACAAACATCTGACTTACATTGGACTCATAGCTAAGAATGAGGTGAGACAACAGGAAGTGAAAGGAATCTATCCCTTGGAAAGGAAATTCACTCCTGTAAGAATTACCATTGGGGGAAAGGCGAAATCTTCTGAATAAACGGCACAGATAGCAAAGCAAACACCATAGGGGTGTTATCCCTTCCCTATGCTAGCAAAAGCTAAGTATAAATATATATTTTGGTTGGAGTTGCACTTGAAAAATGTATCTCTTCAGACTTATAACCTTGTCACACAGCTCCTGGAGTTGTCCCACGTCATCTCCTGTCATTGGGGGGTTTGGGGAACCCAGCACCCCACACCCCATATCACCTGGCTCTAGCTGAGGTGGAGAAGCATAGAGCATGAGTGAAGCATGCTGATTCCTCCAATTGATTATATGGCAACATGGTAAGCTTCTGGCTGAGACATGCACTGGCTCCACCCTACTTCACCCACTGAGTCCCACCGGCATTGTTTGATGGGAGTGGCAGGGTGAAATAGGGCGGAGATGATACATGCCACCAAAAAGTGCCCTTTGTGGTCAGTTTATTTCATACAAATTCAACTTAACAACAAATCTACAGTACGTATCTTTCTCGTATCTTGGGGACTACCTGTACTTATGTTCATGAGTTACCTAAGGCCTCAATGGCCAAGAGCACTGTACAGACAAGGACAACCAGGTTGCTCCCAACAGATGCAAGGAGGCTGTGAGTGTTGCTGCAGAACTGACCTTAACATAAGGCAGAATGAGACTACCTTGGGGCAGCATAATATGGGTTCATCATTAAAGGGCAGCAAATTGTTAGTTACTTAACTTATTATGATTTCCCTTTTTCATTGCCAGGAAGGAGGAAAGGTGTTTATGAGATTTTCTGCTGGAGGTGTAAAAATAATTTGGCTACCTTTAGGTGCAATGCACCATGACTTTAGAAGTAGTGGCTGCCAATCATTCTGTGCCTCAGGCACTGAAGCATCTTAAGGTGAGTTGGATGGGTGAAGAATTAACAGTATGACTAAATAACTGCTGAGATAGATTTGTACCTTTAGTGGTCAGGTCACTGGAGGGAAGAAAGGAATGTGAATATTTCTTGAGATCCCGTTTCTCAATGGATCAGAAAAATCCCTATAGAATGTGGACACTATATTACAGAGGGTTCTCATGAAAGGTGATATCCCGGGATGCTTGTCTGGAGATGTATAAAAGGTCTCTGCAACCAAATAAGCAATAAGGAAGAGCCACTGGCTGTTTGTGGTGAACTTCACTAGTTTTAACAGCAACCTCAGGTTTCTTGACAGGATTCATGTTCCAAAGTTTGTGGAAAATGTGACTGCTTCCAGGCTTAGACCAGCTTGGCTGTTTAACAGGGCCACTGTGAACCAGTCTGGGAACAGGATGCCAAGGAAACAGACAGTTCCACAGAGTATTAGACTACGAGTATTTGCTTGTCCACGACTTCGCAAATCCATCTAAGTTTATGGCTTTGACATGGGACATGGCATACCTTAAAGGTTTTCACCAAGCACACACAGATATCATGAATTGTACACAGTGATCTTATAACATTTCAGGCAGAAGATTTAACTTGGATTTTCTTAATCAAGTGTAAATTGATACAGATTGAGGCTGGATCTACACTACCATATAATGCAGCTGGGAACTGCATTATATGGGTTTGGACCAGGGCTGCACAACCTACGACCCTCCAGGTGTTTGGACTTCCCAGAAGACCTATTCAGCTTGTTCAATGGTCAGGTATTCTGGAAGCCAGAATCCAAAACACTTGGAAGGCCACAGGATGTCCAAGCCTGGTCTTGACTAATCATATAATACAGTTCTTAACTATACTATACGGTAGTGTAAAACCAACTGGAGGCATAATTTCCCCTGAAGAGCTAGAATTTCAGTTCAGCTCCAGTTGGGTACTAAAAATCTCTTGATACAAAGAAGACTATCAGAGGGGCTATTTAAATACAACTGAATGTGTGAGAAAACATGAAATAGGGATCAATTCATTCTGTGCAGGATAAACAAGTTTACTATTTGTCCACCATGGAACTTGCTGAAAATTCCTCCACTTTTAAAATGTACTATATATTGCTTAGCTGTAAAATATGTGAAGGACATTGCCTAGGAAGTATCAGCCAATCCTGGTTTCTCAGCTCCTTATCTAATTTAATTCCTCTTTTTACAGGCAAATGGACAATTGACAAGTCATGAATATGTGTGCTGCATAAGGTAGGAATGAATCAGTAATATCACCTATATCTAGAGATGCAAGAAACATTGTTGTGTACCGAATGCAGCTGTTCCAAACAGAGATGAAATGGGTTTCCCTAATGATTATGGAGTAAAAAAAGTACTCACCTCATAGACATTGCAATTTTTGCACTCAATGTTTTTGACAATTTGGTTTCAATGTAGTTCTTTAGGCATTAATCAATTTAAAAGAAACCTTGCCTTTTATGCATGGTTTTACAGAAAATCCTAAGATATACCTTTCTTAGAGCCTATCCAAATTCCTGTTGCAAAAGCAGGACAGAAAAATACAAACTCCATAAGTGAAACTCCTACTAAGTCCCAAAATGCCATTTGCTGTTATCATGGAAGTACCACTGACTGTATCTGGCAAACTTTATTAGCGACTCCCATAGGACTCAGCACCAGCAGTTTTTGGAGTATCATACAAAGTTATAACATGCCCTTTCTTTCCCTACCAGTACCACCACCCCCCTACCATAAATCTCATGAGCCAGAGGAAAAAAAGGTTGTTTTAGTTCTGAAATGAAATATTATATTTTCTGTTATATTTTTTGGGGAAAAAACCCTCACTTTTGCTACCTTGCTGTAATAGAAACATTAATTGGTTGCGTTGTACACATTTGCAAATTAGTTGGTAACATTTTTACAAACCGTTTAGGCATTAATAAGATTATCTTGCTAATGCCTTGTTGTTTTTTTAGTCTACTGGACCAATATGGTAGCAAACATTAGTGCAACCTGTCAACTTGTCTTGCATGTTCACATGCTGTTGATAAGATGATCAAGCAGTTTAATCGGTTTCGTCCCATGGTCAAACAGCCGCCATTTCCAGTTTGTTGAAACTGCTCCCAGCTTCCCCAGGATAACCACACTACACTGAAAAAGTTTCAGTTGTTTATTCTAAATCCTATTAATAACTTAAGTTGGAATTGTTCATATTCTTTTCCAAAGATAGACTTTGAGAGTTCTAACACGTTCAACAATTCACAATTCACAAGGAAAACTGTCAGAAAGCTCTATTGGCAGCCTTTTCCAGTTTCTGATATCATATATTTTAGGACAAAATAGAATAGAAAACACAGGGTATTGGTTATTTTGAATGTGTAATTAATCAACAGATAACATCCTCATTTTTATAACAGAATATGACTGAGTGAGTGAAATACTCAAAGCGCTGCAAACACCGGTAAGGACCTGGTGTTGCTCCGGCTTGTAGAGGGGCATGGGGAATCCGGCACCCCACACTCCGTATCACCTGGCTCCAACCAAGGGCAATCAGATGGGGAAGCCGAGCATGTGTGGTGCACGTGGCTTCCTCTTATGCATTCT